AATAATTTGTCAAAAACTTGACGCTAAATTTTTATTTCCAATCGAAATGGGAAAAAAATAAAGAAAAAGTATATCTTTGAATTATGGAGCGTTAAACGAAAACTTCTCGGACGAATAATTCGAAGCTCGAAAAAAAAAAAAAAGGAAGAAAAAAGAACGAAAAAGATAAAGAAAGTTTTGCAACTCGATGGAATCGTGAAAAAAATAAAATGGAAATAAATGAAAAGAAGAAGAAGAAAAAGAAGAAGAGAAGAAGAAGAGGAAGAAGAGGAGGAATATCGATTATCCGAAAACTATTCGATTTTACCTAAAAACTTAAGTTTATTATTTTCGCCTTAACTCGGCGGATCTCATAGAAGTCGTCAATTTGTAGTTAGCCTAAAAAACTTGAAGACCGAAATGAAGTTTTCCTTCTAAACCTGGTGGAAAATGTAAAATCGTTCGATCGTGATGAAGAAACTTCAACTTTAATCCGTTTCTCTTTCTCTATGTATTTAAAAATAAATTGAGATAGTAAAAAATTGAATCATAATATAAACATTAAATACAGATCAAATATATTTAACAGATAAAAAATCACATAGGATAAAAATTCGTCTTACGAATGAAACAAAAAAAGAAAAAAATCCTCAAACATTTACAATCGCGTTATAAAAGGAATTGCACAAATTTTGGATGATTTTAATCCTTTCGTTAACTAACCCATCCACATATACGGGATCGTACCATTAAAGAAAAAAAACACACACATATCAATTATTATTTCTTTACGAATAAATTCGTGGACGATTTATAACAATACCTTTTTTCTTTTTCGTTTTAACGATTATCGTATTACGATTTTATTATACGCATGCACGAAATAAAATTAAGTTGAGAATTGTTAAAATTTCATGAATTACTTGAGCGAATTTTTCAACAACCACCATAGTTTTAGTTCTGGATTTTCTATTCGACATTTATTTTCCAGAAAGAGAGAGAAAGAGAGAGAGAGAGAGAGAGAGAGAGAGAGAGATCTATTGAAATCGTTTGGCTACTAGCCATACAAAAGTAAGTCCCTTTACGAAAAGAATGTCCAGCAACAGATACTTGACTCATGCAAGGGAGTTAAATAGCTTATTCATCAGACTATTCTAAGAATCAGAATACCTGCATTTTCCATTTATACATACAAACATACATCTACAGGATACTTTAAAATATGTAGGCATAACTTTTCAGGGTGGGGGGGGGGGAGAAAAGAAGGAAAAGAGAATTTTGATTTTGTTATATAATAATTTTCGGAACAAAAAAAATTCTGATAGAAAATGATTTTTCATTGAAATATTATTAAATGATATTAATTTAGTAAATTATTCGTCGATTAAATGAATAATCGTTTATATAATTTTCTTTATTTTTTCTTTGGTTTTTTTTTATCTTTCTAGTATATAAATCGATAATAAAAAGTTGAACGCGAAGTTAAAAATTGTTTTGCTTTCGTACAATCATCGTCGTATAATTTTCACGTCATTTAATTTCAAACTAGAATGCAAGTATTCATCGAATGTTGCTCAAATGTATTTTCCATGCATTCCTAACGTTGTATTTTTTTCTCTCTCTCTCTTCTCTTCACACACACACACACACACACACTCTATCTCCGTCTCTCTCATTTTTGGAGCGACATTTCAGGGAATACGTATAAAAAGAAAAATTACGGTTGAACGCGTTCGTCCTCCGAAAATTAATGGTCCGGGCAAAACTTCCCGCTGTAAGAGAGAAAGAGAGAGAGCGAAAGAGAGAGAGAGAGAGATTAATCCTGATTCTCGGCCAGAAACACAAGCAAAAAAGAAAAATATATACATATATAAAAGTATATATAAGAGACAACAAAATAATATATTTTATCCGAGTGACGTTTCCACTTAAAACGAACGATAGATAGAAATATATACGCTTATTATAAAACTTAACAAAATATTATCTTAGGACAAAAATTTCAACACGACGAATATTATATTTTATTCAAAACTCGTAAGAAATGTAATTAAGTTTATTTCTTTTTTTTTTTTACGAACGAATAAAGGAAGTAATAGTAATATTGAGATCATTACCATTCGATTGAAACAAAAATCCTTTACGTAAAACGTAATATAATTTTTCTTTCCTCCTACCCCACCCCCACCACCACCCCCGCCCCTCTGCCGGCCCGCATCGTTTAACCTTTGCTATAAATTAAAAAAGGAAAATTATAACGATAATGCTCACCCTTTTGCTTTTCGATGCGATGGTTAAAGAAGAAAAAAGAAAATTACTCGATTAATCTAAAAAATAAATGAGAAGGTTTTAAATGACGTCTGTATCGCGTCGTATCGTTCGTTGTTAAAATGTAAAATGATTTTGTACGTTAAAGTGAGGTAGGACGTATAGTTAAACGCGAATAAACGAAATCACTGTACACTATAAACGAAATTACTTTTCGAAAGATGCAATATTTTCCTTAAAAAAGAAAAAGAAATCAAAACATTTGTAATTATTTTTTTTGTAATCTCATTATACTCACAATGGAAAAAGAAGAAACAACAAATTTTTAAATTCAACGTAATGAATTAATCAATGCGATTATCTGATTATATTTAATTAAACAAATTAAAAATATAACTATATATCTAATAAAATTTTATAAAAATTGTATAAAAATGTTCTCGCATTAAAATACGAAAAAAAGAAAAGAAAAGAGAAAAAAAAGCAAATTAATTTAATCGTATTTTGTACGAATAATTATATCGAAATTGTAAGAAGTTAAAATATAATTAAGTAAGGAAAAAAAAAAAAGAAATAATTATTAAATTAATGAATTAAAAGAGAAAGATATTGAAAGAGAAAAAATAAATAAGGGAGGAGATAACAAAAATCTGATTTAAAATAATGTTAATAATACATGATATATACGTATCTATATGATATGATATGATACGATATGATATGATATGTGTATGAGATAGAATGGAGACACCACCTTTGATCGTTCAAAAACAATTTCGTAAATACGCTTTGGACCTGGTAAGTCGATTAACCTCGATGGCATCGTTCCCTGGAGAACCGTTCAAATTCAGGCCACTTTTCGACATCGAACGTTATGTGTTCGATAGTTCTCCTCCTCCTCTTACTCCTCATACCCCATCTTTTACCCCTATCTCAATTATTTCATCGATTCGAGCTCATATATTTTATATATAGGAAGGGGAAAAGAAAAAACATAAATATATTTAGTATTATGAAAATATTAAAAAATATATAATTAATTCAATCAAATAAATATTAATAAATGTAATTAAATTATAACTCATTGTGTGTGTGTGTGTGTGATCTCCAATATTATATTTAATTGTTGTAATAATAATTACCTACTATAAATATTAAAACTTTGTGTCCAGAATAAGTAGATTAAAAAAATAATGTAGAAATATGTTTGCCTGAAAAAAAAAAAATACGAATTAGATTGATTGGTTAAAGAAAAAATCCAATTTCATTTGTATATTATTCTTTCTCTCCCTTTATTCTTTCTCTATTTCACTTATTTGTTTATATCTTTCTTACAGACCTTTTTCTAAACCTCTCTAGAAATACGAGACAATCAAAGTATCCACTAACTCCCCATATCGACTTATGGGGATAATCCCCATAGAATTTCTTAATCTGTCAAACGCAATATCCTACTAAACTAAATATATTTGTCTTTTCCCTTATTTCTCTTTCTTTCTATGCAAACAATAAGTAATCTACGTTATTAGCATACTAAATAGTCGTCATATTATTATATTGTAGAATTTCAAATAAAAATAAAAACTACAAGGATACGTGTACCCGCATACGAATTATCTTAATTAAAATATTCCACTGTCATTACTCTTTTTTATATTCTTTTTCTTCTTCTTCTTTTTTTTTTCATTTATTTTCATGTCAGACACACATGCACCGCACTATTCATAATACGTTCGTTGTTTTTTTTTTTTCAATCATTTTTATTCTTTCTTTTAATTTTTCTTTACCTATTCGTTCTCTTTCTCTCCCTCTCTCTCTCTCTTTCTCTTTTTTCTTTTTTTTTTTTGAATGGAAAACCGAAAACCATTTCCAACTTGTCGATAACTTTTCGTTCAATAATTCAAACCGAAAGATTGAATATCACTTTGGACCTTTTATTAGGTTCCTTAATTAATCTGATTGTGAGTCTATCAACCATGTCAAATAATAATAATAATAATAATAGCATTAATAAATATAATATTTCAAAATGAATCAAATTTACGTAGCCACGCACATGCACAACATACGTTGATCAATAATTATGTACATAATTAATCGCGTTCAAAGAGATGTGAACTAAAAAATAATAACACACTAATACCAACATTCGATTTACAAAATAAACGATACACACACACACACACACATAACGTAAAAGAAATAATACTCTTTTAAAAATACAAAAAATTCTAATAATAATTACTTATTAATATAAATTTGTATAAAAATAATATTTTTAAAACATAGAAAGTCCATCATATATATATATATATGAGCTCGAAGGATATGAAAGATATATATACTTCGTANAAAATAATATATATATATATATATATATATATATATATATATAAATATAAACGGGTTTACTTTATGATTTCTACAAGCTTTTAATACTCGTTAACACTCCGTTAAAAGTTTCAACGAGGTACTAAACTCGTTCGTTTTACCGATACTATAACATTCACTTCGACACTTTGTGGCACTTCCGTGGAGTACTTTTACAACACGATCGGTAAGAATAGGGCACACAATGAAACACATACAGACACACACACACAAACACATATATATAAAGAAGACAGAGAAAAAAGTAAATAAGTAAGTAAGTAAGTAAGTAAATAAATAAGTAAGAACACGTATATACATATACATATATATAATAGATACACATACACATATATATAGACACTAAATGATCATCAGCTTACCGTTTAAATTCCAATATACGATGCAACTAAACACATCTGATTAGAACACTCTTTCTCGTATTCACAATGGCGTGGATGCATTTATCTGTTGATCAAAACGTAAATGAAGAAGAAATATTTAACGAAAAATAAAAAGAAAACATTAATCAGAATTTAATTCTAATCCCCTTAAACAAACATTCTCATTATCTCGTGTCAAAAATATCATTCAATTCCGTTCCTTCGAACGCGAAAATAAAAAAGGAAAATTAGATAAATATAAAAATAACCAAAAGGAGTGTTGGTTGGGAATGTAATAAAAATCAGTTTAGAAATTCGATGATACTCGTTGAAATGTTTTACAGAAATAAGGGTGGAAATTATTCGCTAAGGACGAGCCCTGTTCTCTTGTCTTTTTGTTGTTTTTCTCTCCCTTCACATACTCCCCACCCTCCTCCCTCACCCCGTTAACATCAAGAAAAGAATTGGAGTTGTAAAATCGTATACATAAATCTGTCTCTTTCCCTCGAACGTTTTTTATTACGAAGAATTCAAATAAAAATAAAATATATATATATTAACATGAATGGGGAGAAAAATAGATGAGGGTGTAAGGAAGGATGGGATAGAGGATATTGTATAAAAAAAAAAAAAAGAAAAGAAAAGAAAAAGCCAGGAAGGGGAAAATTCTCTCGCGTTGTTTACTCCAACTAACAAGTTGCATACGATTATGAGAATGATACTGATGACGTCAACACGAACGCTGCAGTTTCCTTCTCATGGTGCGAATCGAAGAAAGATTTGAATTAAAAAGAAAAAAAAAAGAAAAGGGAATTTTTTTTTAAGTAGAAGGAAAAAGGATTGGAAGAATGAATGAATGAATAATAATAATAATAATAATAATAATAATAATAATAATAATAATAATAATAACGTATCAATTTATCTATTTATCTCTAACTAAAAAAAAAAAAAACAAATTAATTACAAGTCCCAGAAATAATCATTGTAATGACGATTGTATCGTAATAACAGAAAACAAAAAACAATACAAAACAAATTGAGAAAGAGAGAGAGAGAAGGAAAAAAAAGAGAAATGATCAAATTAATGGGAGAGGGATGTACGGTTAAAGATATAAAGATGATGACGAATGATGATGATAACGACGAGGACGACGATAAGAACGGCAAGAATAACGATGACGGAATTATGATGGAAAAAAGGAAGAAAAGATAACGATAACGATAATACGTGATTATGATGAAAAAAGATAAAGAGATTCGCGGTAACCGGTACCGCGGGCTAGACTGAAGTCGAAACGAACCGAGCTTACCCTCTTATAGATGGAATATGCCTGCGCATGCGTCCCCATCACCAAGTTCCACCCTCGCATTAGCTTCAACCCTCGACGACGACACCTCCAAAGTCGAGGTGCTCCCTCGTGTTCCCTTCGTGCTCCGTCGATACTCTCCAAGGGTTATTCAAATTCCCCATTATACCAAACGGGTATATAATCTTATCTGATATTATAGAAAATAATACATTGTGTTGTTTATTATTATTATTAATATCATTATTGTTAATATTAATACATATATAATATTATTTTATTTAATTATGAAGAAATATAATATATTAATAATAATAATTACACACATTATAATATATAATTTAATTAAATAAATTATTAATATAATATATTACTATATTATTATTATTATTATTATTATTTATTTATTTATTTTTTTCTACCGTTTATTTTTAAACATCCACCTATAATTTTCTACCCCCATATATTATATTTTCCTTTCCTCCCCGTTCCCTCCTTCTTCCGATCATATTTATTGGAATTTATATTCTCAATGCCTAGGCATTGTCCCCAAACCGAGCCATTTTTGGCAATGTAGAAAACAGACGAATTCTTATCTGTATTTTTTGTTCCTCATCATCTCATCATTCCGGTACATGCTGTTTACGCAATGCTAGAAGAATACATTATTATATAGAATAATATATATATATATATATATATTATATATTATATATATTATATATTATATTTATTATATATTATATATATTATATATTATATATTATATACTATACTATGCGTATCTCTATAAACTGAAACTTAATGTCGATGTGTGTGCAGCACACTTGTGATATGTGTTCTTCTGTTTCCTACATTGACAAAAACTGCTCGGTATTATACACATTTCTCTATACATATATAATCTTGTAAATTTACTTTCTTACTTTTTACAATTCTGATTTGTACAACTTTATTACAATTCTGTTTTTTCTTCTTCTTTTTCTTCTTGAAAAGAAAGAGGAATAAAATGAAGGAATGATTGTCAAATGAGATCTAATATTGATATTCGTAAAACGATCGATTCCAATAATTCGTAGAAGATTATATTATTCCATAGAAAGATAAATAAAATGGCGGAAAAACGTCGATCGGTCGAAGCCAAATTCAATGACGATCGAGATCCTAGCTATTAACACGATTCGACGGTACTTATCGAATTATCCTTCTATGCACACAAGCATCAAGTAAATTCTACTAACACCCTCTTGAATGTGTGTGAATGAATGAATTTAATGAGCATTAATACGATCTTAGATACAATGAAAGATCACTAATTACGAAATTACGTAAAGAAATTTAATTTCAATTGTGTAGATTAGTATTTAATGATTTTATTCTAACGTAAACGAAAGGAGAGAGAAAAAAAAGTACAAATAAAAAAAAAAGAAAAATAAAAGAAGAAAATGTGAAACTCATTAAGGTGATTTGTTCTATGATATGTAACCGTCCTAAGGGTGTTGGAAAACTAGAAGAGACGAGAGAAGTGCTAAGTTAGATTGACCGATAAGGGTGAAGTGTGTACGATTCATGTTCTAACCATACTCAAAGAGAAAGAGGAAAGACCCTTGATATCTCTTGGGGGATATAATCCTACCTATTTCCGAAATATTACCGAACGTATTTTTTTCCTCCTTTCCTATCCTCTTCACACATTTTCTTTTTCTTTTCTTTTATAATTTTTTATTTATCCTTATATTATATTTTATACAAATAATTATCAAATCTCTATGAAAATAAAAAATTATTTATTTATTAATTTTATAAAATATATAATATATTAGATTTATCAAAATTTATTGTTTTGTTACTAAGGATCCATATACGGGCCGACTTTTAAACATGTACGGTTCATATAAAGCAAATAAAAGAAGATTGAAGTTATCGGTGCACACCATATCGGTGCATGCTATACTACTTATCGTTAATATTCAATATAGGAATGTGAAAGAAGTATTTGAAGTAAAAGATTGACGAGCATGAGAAAAAAAAAAAAAGGTAAAAGTATAGGGTGACTTGGCACGCTCTATCGCATCTAACAAAAAAAGATATCCCAAATGATTGACGTATGAAAGTGATGAATATATATCCTAACGATCGATATTTTCTTAACCTGTTGAAAAGTTCGTCAGATTTGAATAAAGGAGAAGCGAAGAGACAAGGGAAGAAAAGAATTTGAGGAGGTTGAACGGTTGGTTTGTTGTGAAAAGTAAAATCTTCTCTCTAAGAGAATGATCATCAATCTTTTCATGAATTAGATACGTGTTAAGGCATCAAGAAGGCGACACTATGGTAGCATAATTTAACGCTTCGATGTACCTTCCTGATGCAACTACGAATGAATTATGCAGATTTCGTTATGGAACGCAGGAGTTACATCAACGTTGTAATTCAAATCGTATATATAACAATTCCTTTGTAATAATCAAGGAGAATATGCTACGTGTAAATGCTAAATAAAGAAATTTAAATAGAATAAGCGAGTTAATCAATAATTGCCGATTAAAACGATTTAAGCAAAATTATACATATTTTACCTTAGAATATCGATAGAAAAGATATTGGAAAATTATTACGAAGATTACAGGCTCCACCATTTGAGGTCATTAAATACAGGAAAAGTTTCTTTGTAATCCTTGCAACTTCTCTTCTAATTCTTCTCCCCTTTATATTAGCCAGCTCCATAATCCAATGTTTATATACTATAAAAATGATCAAAAGTTCATTATCTCTATTACTCGAGATCTATATCATCTATAATTCGTTTAATTCATAAATTTGTTTGATCACGTATATAAGAAGAAGACTTCATAGAACTTACTAACTTGTTTTATATAGACGATTTGCATTACACGTAAGCCATAGGATAGAAAATAAAATTCTAAAATAATTATAATAAATTAGTAACCAAAATATATGATTTTGTGAATATAGAAAAAAAATCCGACGTGATCGAAAATTGCTGACATGGCTAGTGATTACCGACGTGATAAAAAATTACCGATATAGTTAGTAATTACCGACTTGATCAAAAATTACCAACATTGACCAATAACCGCAAGAAAGTTAGCACAGAACCTCAACAGCAGAAAAAAATGAATAAGTACTCTTAAACACTAAAAATTAAATATAATTATTTTAAATTTTCTTACAATATAACTATACTATATATACTATCAAAGAATATTGTATTCTTTGCGCATCAACAAATTCAAGGAGCATGCGCACTTTGAAAAAAATGAAAGTTAAGTTGATGTACCTGCACGAGATATATTTAAAAGTGATTTCCAAAGTAACAACCTATAGGGTAGTGTAAAGAAATAGATTAATCGTTCATAATGTATAAACAATAGGTAAATATTTTTATTTTTTCATTCTTTTCTGCTGTTGCGTTTTTATTTCAACTTTCTGGTGGGTACAGATGTACATCGAAACTCGTAAGTCCGCTTTTTTATCTACCTAGTTTCATATTAGTTACTACCGGGACCACCAGTGGGCGATAAAATGTACGGAACGCGATAACGGTACAAGCTATCAAAGAACAGTAGAATACATCAAAGAGTAGTACAATACTATCGACGAATACAGTATTCTATCTGCTATCGCCCACTGGTGGTCCCGGTAGTAACTAAGATGAATCATGGTAGATAAAAAACGTGACTTGTGAGCTTCTATGTTCTTCTGTATTCTTTGAAATAACCATCTGTTTATAAACGTTATTTCCCATGATAAGAAGAAGATATGAGATATATTTCGAAGAATAGATAGCGCTTTCTTGTAGAATACTTATACGAAAGATCGTAGATGCGTGTAGTAGCTCTTTAACTAACGCTTTTGTGTCCACTTTCGGTACTAAAATATTGAATTGCTTTCGATGCCTGCCCAAAACCATAGCACCAATAAGTGCGCGTATTTTCCTTGTAGAGAAGAAACCGTTGGAAAAATGTGTGCGTAGTGAAAGATCCTTCGTTTCATTTAATCGTATGTGTCCGGTTACCCGTGCGAACTTATTCCAATCAATTTTGACGTATTTTCTAAACAAAATTAACAAAACACCATGGATAAGAGAAAAATGTCGTAAGTAATACACCCGCTGTGTATTGAAAAAACGGATAGTTAGGGTATATTCAAAGTAAGAACGTAACGTCAATGATCTTAGACTACTTAGTTTTTTGAATGAAATTTGTTTACCTCACGCATATACGCCCCGATGTTCATTGAATCATTCGAATCCGTTACTTTTATCGATTAAAAAGAAATCGATTAAAATGTCACAACTCGTAGTAAAACATAGGTTATGTACATAATAAGTAGACGATTTATGCAAGATTCTAGATAAAAACACCTTTTTCTAACATCTGCAAATCATTTTATTGCTCATTATTATTTTTTAACACTTTTCTAATAATCCAATAGATCTTAATCACTATACTATTTTTATTTAGTTTGCATAAAACGTTGACACTAATATTTCCACTCCTAAGGAATTTAAAAAGAAATGTTACTAGCATTATAATCGTAAATTAGTAAAATTACATTCTTTTTTTTACTGTAAATACGAGTTCTTTTTTTCTTTATTTTTCTTTTCTTTCCTTTTCTTGTAATAAATTATATAATCTTTTAGTAAAATTTTTGTTACCGTTATGAAGATTATTTCGAGAAAGAATGTCTACCTTTAAGGAACACAAATTTCAAACGTATTCTCAAGAATACAAATTCTGTTTTTATGGAATGCATTTGTTTCTATTTATAAAATAACAGCATTGTTATCCTTTGAAACTTGAAAGCAAAATGTAATTAATTTTTTTTGGTCTTATTTGATTACTTTGAAAAGAAATTTATAATAAATGAAATAATTTGTATAAAATATCTTTTTATCATTATACAATTTTTTAAAAAAACGTATCATGGAGTTTATATTTAATATATTACTTCATATTTTTAATCTATTTACTATCTGTTATAAAAATCTTGATATCTTACCATATGAAAAAATAAAGATAAAATGTGTGTATTATCTAATAGAATTGCAGAAGTTATGACTAATCTTTAGTTATCTTCTTATGCATATTATACAACTTTTCCTTATACATATATATATATATGTATATATATGTATATACAGGGCGTTCTAGTTATTTTCGACAAAATTTTAATATATTTTATAATTAACACGTTGCGGAGAGAGACAGTAAAAGTTTCAGCGAGAATAAAAAAGTGACAGTTATTTTATTTTTAAATTAGTTGTGATATCCAAAATTTGATTCAATACATTTTATTAGGGCAGTGAGATTATCATATATTAAAGAATTAGTTAGTCATTACCATTACAGGTATAATTATTACAAAAACTAAAGATTATATAAAATAAAATTCAAAATAATTGGCTTTAAAATTTGAATGCTATAGCATTCATGTCCGCGAACGTGTTAAAAATAAGAAAAAAATGTTATATGAACATGGTCTTTTAAATACTTTATTAAAAAGTCGTAACAAAAATGTTTTGTATTTATAAAATATATTGGTGAAAAATCTGAGACACCCTATATATATATAGGTGTGACCTATCATTGTCAAGATAAGTCAGACTCTAACAGATAAATTTAGATATTTGATCTTTACAGTTGCATGTAATTTTTGTTTGCATAGCAGTAAATGTAGATAGATAATTTACTTAATTAATTAAATATATATATAATATCCTTATATATATTATTAATGGAATAATTAATGTCATAGCACTGCGGGGGATTCCCTCTATCAAATATTGGATATACCAAAGACAGCGACACCTGAAGAAATAAAGAAAACTTACAGAAAATTAGCGCTTAAATATCATCCTGATAAAAATCCAAATAATCCTGAAGCGGCAGAAAAGGTATAACTTTTTTTTATATAATATTAAAGAGTTCATGCGTGTGCTTCAATCATTATACGTAATATTTATATATACATGTACATGTATATACATTTTTCCCTTGTATATAACATTTATACTTTAGCTACAAAAGGAACAAGATTGTTAATTATATTTGTTGGTAATGTCATTTGATATATAACTTTTAAAATCCATTAACTTGTTACATTTTTGTTTTATAGTTTAAAGAAATAAATAGAGCGCACACCATATTAACGGATTTAACAAAGCGCAATATATACGATAACTATGGATCACTTGGCTTGTACGTTGCTGAACAGTTTGGAGAAGAAAACGTTAATGCTTACTTTGTTGTAACTTCTGGATGGTGCAAAGTACGATTTTTGTTGCTTTCTTAACTAATTTACATCATAATCTTTAAATCTCTTTTTATACAATGTGACATATCTTATAAAATAATTTTTATTTCTTTCCAGGCACTACTCGTATTTTGTGGAATTATCACTGCTTGTTATTGTTGTGCCTGTTGTTGTTGCTGCTGCAACTGCTGTTGTGGGAAATGCAAACAAACTCCTCCTGAAGACAGTGGTATATACCATAATTTACAGGTAATATTATTTATTAAGATATTTGATAATAGTTAATAATCGTATTAAACAACGAATAACACAAATTCAAACTACAGGTCTATGTTTAGGTCAACAATACGTCTTCCATTGTAGAGATAGTAAACTAGAAAAAGTATAACGATAAATGCTTATAAAATTAGATTTCGATATTTTACAGCTTTCTATAGAATCAAATGTGAGTTTCAAAATGTTCTATGAAAACGTTGCCAATGTATACAAAAGCTTATCGATGTTTTGCACTAAACGGATTACTAACACTTTCATAAAGATATACATTGTGCAATGTAAGTTTGGAATTTAGAGTCACGAAAAATTGTTTTTCATCTGAGGTATAATGAAATATGTGTTGCACCTAAAACCGATCGCCTAGTTTGAAAGCACTTTTAAAAAGTTTTAATTAGGAGCGAGCAAAATTTTCAGGAATATTGTGTCGATAATATAGAAAGAAAGTTTAGTTCTTATAACACTTTCAGGGCGTGTCATTTTAAATGACATTACGAGTATAAAGTTTATACATTATTTAAGATCTCTAATTTAGTTTAAACTATTATTCCTATATGGAATTTTGATTACAACATAAAGAGGTCATTGTTTAACAGTCTGTACAAAAAATAAAAAAAAGTACTTATTTTTAACAATAATAGGGTAAGAGAAGCACATCGTGAGTCAGTCTTGTAATTTATCTAGCAATTATTGTTTCTCTATACTTGTGTGCATTTTCTGCAAGAGTAATTCTTTTATCCAATCGTAATTAGTATTAATAAGACTTAAAATAATATTGATTCGTCTGGTATTTGCCCCCGCTTTGTTAATTCGATACCTTTCAGCACCCATTCTGATCACACATTCTTCTTTTTATATATATCATCTTCATGGAGGTAGATACACTTTATTTTAACGAGTAAAAATATCATACTTGATTATTATGCTTGTTCGCAAAACCGGCACTACTATTTGTACATTGCACGCGAACATTTTTTTCATTGCCGAGCATGCGAGATTCTGCTTAGTTTTGCAGAAAGGCATTTATAGACTAGCGGTTTTGTTTATGTTGTTGTTGTATTATAGCGGGACCAGAATCCGGACGTCGATGTTGTGACAAGTCAACCCTTAGGGTTCTCAAAGGTAAGTTATTCTCTGGAAAAACATCCAAAAACTTTTCTTCGTCCACTCAATTTAAAATCACATTGACAAGTTCTTAAAATAATGTTTTCAATAATATTATCATCTGTCAATAAATTCTTGACTTTTTAACCTGAACTTGTAAAAGTGATTGCATTTGCGTGAGACATTGCTTTCTTCTAATCTTATTTTGCTTCTCTTTCTTTTTTATTTTGCATTAAAACTATAAAACCAAAACATAAGCCAGCATATATTAAATGTCATTTCGCATGCACGATTAAAGTAATCCCTATATAAATTCACCATTGTCAAACAAATATTGGTTACATCACATATCAGACATGTTCATTAATATGCTTATTTTTATAGTTTTCAAACGTTTATGCCCTTTTCTTCTTTAATAAATATCCATGCAACTTTCTAACGATCTGTAGGTATATAATTTTGAGCTTGCAATTATTGTTTTTTTTTTATTTTTGACAAGAAATTTAAATTTATTCTCGTTTTCTGGACTAAACATCTTATCGACTGGCAAGTATAAGTCATCGACAGATCCTTTAAAACGATCTAAATTAATCGTTTTTGTTGCAATATATTGCACGTTCAAATTACAAGCTGCATTGACCATATTTTAGCATGTACACCTGCATTATAAATTATTAACATATTCGAGAAATTATTTTGAATGCCAGGATAAAAATATGAAGTATGCTTCGTTATTGGATACAAATTTGATAATAAAAGCACAGAAAAATATTTTGTAAAAACTATACACGATGTTACAGTACTGTTAGGCAAAATGTGGTATAATAAGTTACAGATTTTCTGTTATCTTTAAGACACGTACTGGAAGTGATTAATTATCAATTTGTATAAGAATACGATTATTATTAAAAACAAGCATACAATATTGCTGATTCCACTTAAGAAATCTGATTAGGTATCACCTATAGAAAAAAAAAAAAAAAGGAAAAAAGAACAATTTCTCTAAATTTACAGGAACAAGTAACATCGTCTCCTTTGTATCATCTTCTACTTTAAAATGCATTATTGTATAGGTCATGTTTCTAGTGCAAACAAGTCAATGATGCTTTTTTTAAACACTATATATACTATATTATATAAAGTGCAGATAGTAATTACTTCTCTCTATATACTTTTTTATCGACGACAAATTCGATATCTTTTCTGGGAAAACTTTGAAATATATTTTTTTCTATAGGAAGAGGAAAGCGACGAAGAACCAGTGACTGTACAACCTCAGGGTGGTGCATCGCAAGGTGCCACCTCTAATCTTCAACAGGTGTTTGCCATGCCACCACCTCCATCTTCAACACCTGCGAATGAGAGTACGAACCTGAACAGCGGTGGGGATCGTGTGATTTATACTACTGGTATTTCAACTGCTTAAGTTTAGAGACTTAAGAAATAGCTTTTACTTAGATATCCAAGTTAATGCCGACACCTTTTTATTTGTAATCCTCGTTTTCTTGTATCATTGGATAATAGAAAATGAGGATAAATTAGTGGCGAATAAAAACCGAGACTCCTCTTTTATTTTCTTTCATCTCTTTTTATTAAAGTTTTTAAATACAAGTATTAAATACAACGCAAATAGCACAAATTTTAAAAAATACTTTATCAAGTACTGCCCAAAATATAAATTATGCGATTTGTAATGTTAGTAGTCGGAATCTCGTCTTTATCGCCAAACATTATGCGCTTTTACTTTTAATTATTATTTTTCTATCCGACACAAGGAGTCCTATAAAAAGAAAAAAGAAAAAAGAAAGCAGAACATTGCGTTACTTTCGTCTTGAAATTACAAGTAATAAATAAATTTGGAAACAAGAAAAAAAAGAAAATCAAATAAATTCCGTTTATATATTTAAGTATCGAATATTTCAAGTACTTAATACGACATTAAATTGATAATAATAATGAAAAATTATTAATCACGTATGTAATAATCATACGGAAAAAATATGGCCGATTAATTATTATTGAAGACATCTTGTGTTAATCTAATGATATACGTTAATTGATTTCCTTGTTACAGCTGCTTATATTTTTTTTAATCGTTTGGTGATTGTGTTTGCGTATTTGTTTGCCTGAATTTATTATTTATCTCTCTATATTTATATATACGCAATTTCGTTTGCGTTAATATTATTACTTTACTTTAGACATACGTACGTACAATACTTGGCCATTTAATTGTTTTTTTCTTTTCTCTCTCTCTCTCTTTACGGCTTGTTCTTTTTTTGATTTTTGTATAGACAAAAAAAAATGTTATTTTCTGATGCATTATCATCATGTATAAGTTCTCTTTAATTATATGTAAATATGTATGATAAATTTTAATCATCGTTATTTTTTTAATCCATTAGAGAGAAAGAAGAGCGAATTAAATAACTAAAAAAAAAAACAAAAACAAAAAAAGATATTTATTTAAATCAAAACAAAACTAACAGACAAAAAAGAACTAAACATTTTAATGATTTTTTTGCGATATTGCGCATTTTTACTTGTGATTTTTTTTCTTTCTTTCTGTACTTTCTCCTATCCTTTGTCAGCGATAATTTGAAGTATTTGAATTTTGTCTAAAATATTGAATAGACCTCAACTAAATATATTTGACTTTTTATAATTAATATTTAACCATAAAATTTATATAAATATGTAACAGAATATTTTTTACTGTATTTAGATTATATTAGCATTGCATTATTATACAAACTATCGCTGCCAAAGATACTGATCAATAGAAAAATGTTATTCTTATTATAGTTTTTGTTATTTAATATAATTACATATATTTGTCCTTAATAGCGATAAAATAATGAAATCTCATCAAGAATAATCTAGAAATAATATTAAATGCATCAGTATGCAAATTAATATTTTTTGAGTTATATTTTTAAATAATTCACTTCTTAATCAGTTATTTTTATCGTTTTTAAGATTAAATGTCTTTTACGTATTATTTTTATTATGTCATTTAAATGATATATAAAAAAAGTTTAATCAATCATTCCTAGTAATTATAATTAAATCACTTAAAACTTTTGTATATATATATGAGGAGAAATCTTATAAAGGCATAGCTTCAAACATAAATTCAGTTGTAATTAGCATATATTGATTGCAACCATATCTTACAAAACCCTTACACAACCATTTTATTTATAAATAAGCTTTCCTCTTTTCTTTGAGTTGCTTGTATTTTATACATCTTGTTTTTTATTGTAGATGCATTGTGTTGTAATATTTGAAAATTATACTATTAACCCTTTGACTGCGTAACACTTTGAAAGAAAATATGACAATAGCACAATAGAAGAATGTCGCATCATTTGCCTATAGGCATTTTTCGCACTCAAAGGGTTAACAAAATTAGATCTAAAATGATAATTTATAACTAACTCAATTTTTCCCTCCTAGCTGCTTCAACGAATCCTTTCATAGCATCGACAACTGGAGTAAGCAGTGGTACAGGACCAACTAAATGGTAGTCGTCTATTGACTAAGAAAAAATGAAAACTACTAACTAATAGATCTATTGCGATAAATGCTATGGTGATAATGATAATGATTGATGATGATGATAACGATGACAATGAATAATCTCTTTCTTAACAACTAAAATCACAGACTTTTGCGTACTTAATCAATTCGAGTCCGTGATAAAATTATGTGCTTCTTCTTCTTCTTCTAATTACTATTACAATACACGACACACAAATACTCTTTTCGCTTTTCTTTCTCTAGATTCTAAACGCTCGTGCTTTTTTCAAAAGAATTTAAACACAACAAAAATAAAATTAAAAGAAAAGAAAATAGAATAACTTGAAAGAAAAAAAAAAAAAGAAAGAAAGAAAAGAACACAAAAAAAAAAAGGAAAAATGAATAATATTAATGATAATTATAATAAGCACTTAAGTCGTTCTTCCCTTTTGTCGCACTTCCTTTATGTGTATTACTTAATTAATTAATTATTATTATTAGCAAATATATATAACTGTATATCTCGTTTCTCTAATCTCAAACCAAAGAGAGATGGTAATAATGTTAAAAGTTGCTCTTTTACGTTTACATTTTAAGATAGTAAATATCCTATAAATTATAATATTGTCTACAATGAAATGATGAAATTCGCATTCTCGAGAAATTATTACAAAAGAAAAGAAAACAAATATTTTCACAATTGGAAACACTATAGAATTCTTAACATTCTTCGTTAGTTTGCTTTCATTTAACAATAAATTTAAAAAGATTTACTTTGATGATTACGTCAAAAAAGAATTAGATGTCATTTTACATTATTCGAGAGGATGCTCAGAAAATAAATCAAATTGATTAGGATTAAGGAGAGGAAGAAATCAATTAAAAGAAAGAAAAAATAAATAAATAAAAATTAACAAAAGTTTGCTAAAGTTCACAACATATATACAACGTCGCAGCGATATATGATAGATAAAAAATGAAAAAAAAAAAACAAAAAAAAAGAAATAAAACATAAGAAGAATCTTGAAATCGTTGTAAACTTACTACATTTTATGTACTGTTGAACGGTGCATTCCATTTACTTCTAAGAGTTAAACTTTACAAATCCTTCGAGTTATTTATGTACGATATATATACAAAATAATAATTAAAAAGAAAAAAAAAAGAAAGAAAAAAAGAACGTAAAGTCCTAATAAAGCTTTTAAAGCTACAAGGAGAAGAATGATTCAATTAAAGGAATGAGATGACACGTGCTATCAACAACACCACAACAATAACGACACAAAATAATTACGCACGCATTTAGCTTATATACATACATACTTCAAAAATTCATTAAGTTGATACATTTGAATCATACACTCATTCATTTCGATTATCTAACAAATAAACAAAAATAAAAATTAAAAAAAACAAATAGAAAAATCAATAACATGACAATTCTTAGAGAAAGAGAAACATATTCCTCTATTTGATGTATGTATGTGATTAGAAAATGATGTGTAAGAAAAAATAAAAAGAATAACAATAAAATAAAAAAAGGGATAACTATAAAATGCCTACGGTGTCATAAGCAAAAATTAATACCAACAGTTAACGAACATTATATGAGATAATATCATATTGATATGATTGTCAATATGAATAAACATTTACTACATAATTTCTCCTATAAAAACTCTAACTAATAAGATCCAAGGATAAAGACAAAAGATTGATTAGATAAAAAAAAAGATCCTTTAACTTGAAGTAATCCTTGATGTTATACATACGCATGTATCGAAAAATAATATCATATGATTTGGCGTATATTAAGAAAACAATTAGAGTACTAAGCAAATTATTACTTATTAACCTACGATAACAATAATAATAATAATAATAATAATAAATTAATGATAATAAATAATATTAATAATACATTAAAATAATTCCTAAAATTGTCTACTTTAAGATAAATTTAGCTTAGAGAATGTTTAGATCTGTCGGGTACAGGCTGAAGAAGAATTATTTTCAAATGTATGATATAATTAGTAGAGACATTGTACGATTGACAAAATTAGATCTGCCAAGTGGACAATTTTTGGATTTTACTCATACGTATACTCTATTCGAAACGAACTCTAATAATTTGAATTCGAAGAAACAGGAATATGTGTGTTGAAAAAAAATAAAAAGGCAAAAAAATTAACATTTGTTGAACAAGTTGCAGCATGTTAAATGAGTGCATGACGTACATTATATAATATATTAATAGAAAAGTGTTTTATGAAAGTTAAATGCTTTGAAAAATTTTTTTTTTCTTTTTCTTTGCATTGATTTAATTTGTATGTCGTTACTTTTTTTCTCATCAATTTAGGATCCATCTATGAAACTTGTTAATGGCTTATTTATAAAATAAACCATCATTGTAAGGATGTATTTAATAAATTATTATCAAAACTGATTCTAATAACAAGACTCGGTTGTGTTAATTTTTATGCAACGAAAAATAAAAGTACACAAAGTGCATGAGATTTAAAAATCTATTATATTAATTAATACGTTTATAAAAAAAGAACTCATTCATTTTAGGTAATTTACTTAAGGCACAAGCAATTTTTATTTCAAATCGTTTTCATTCGTTTTATCATTATGATCCCTAATTGCATTTTCATTATTTTTTGCACTGGATGGTTTCTTTTACTCATATTATCAGTTACTTTACACAATATTTTCCTGGAAAAATTTAATTAGCAATTTCTTAGAAGCATAAATAAAGTTATTAGAATTTGTTTTTGTCATTACGTTGTAAACTGAAAATTATTTGTATTTAAATAAAAATGATTCCAGAGCGGACCCCTGAAGTGCAAAAAGTTAAATGATTTTAAACTTTTTATCGAATATTCTATGTTTCAATCTTCTATATTATATTCAGTATACATATACGAATATATAGAATGCATTTGTAGATAGTTTCACATTAAATACATTGCATTCTGTTTTTTATGTTAGATATAAAATATGTATTATATTCATATGCATATGTATATATTATTATTATTATTATTATCACTCAATGAATTAAATATACATATATATACAAAGTGTCTAAGGCTTTAAATGATCTACGTTCATATAACATTTTTTTCTTATTTTTGTGCATAAGATGTGCTGATATAGATGATTAGATTTCAGACATCCTGTATATATTTAATCAATTATACTTATGCAAGATTAAAAAGATCATTGTAAAATCATGTAACAAAGTATAAAGATTGTAAATAAAATAGACAATATTAACCATTAGAAAAGTTTCTTTCTGCTAAGTATGAAATAAAAGAATAAAAGAGAAACATGAAATAAAATCATAATTAAAATTAAAAATTTAACTCACTTTAATAGAGATTGTCTTGTTACCGCATTGGCAATTAAATGAATCCTCTCTTTCCAATTTCAATAATAAATCTTACATTTTTTAGTCTAACTAAATAATCTTAAACGATAATACTATATTAAAATTTAATGATAAAACTAATAACGATCACTACTATGATTTATCATTTGCAAATATTTTAATTAAATTAGAACGATCCATCTTGAATAAGAATTTAAAAAAATATGAAAATAAATCAAATATTTTAACTTTAAGAGAAACACACCTTTTACTTCTTCGTAACACGTTTCTAATCTAGAAGATAATTCTTCAAATAAACTGTAAAACTTAACCATCGCAATCCGTAGAAAAACATATATACGTATCATAAAAAAACAACCGTATCGTTGTTTACAACTTAATACTAAATGATTTCGAAACCAATTCGTATTAATAAGTCATATAAAAGAAAAGAATACCTAGAAAGATAATCTTATCACTTTCTCCGTGTAGAAACGTAGAGAAAATCCTAATAAACGCCATCTATGAACAGATTGAAATCTTCTCTAATTTGATGGTTACATACCTGCGAAGAGAGACATTTAAATATTATAAGAATAATATAAATTAAAGAGAAATAAAAATATTAAATATAAAAAAAAAGAAGAAAAAAATTATTATTACAACCATAACCTAACATTGTATGTAAGAAAAAAAATTTAAACATACGTGAATATCTAGTTCATATTCTTTAAAGAAGAAGAAGAAGAAGAAGAAGAGAAGGAATTTCTTATAAATTCCCCAAGTTACATTTTAAAGTTAAAGAAATGATGATTCATTCGTAAAACGCGTGTGCCGAGCGGATGCCATAGATAAAGATTTTGAAGAAAAAGCCATTATAAAGAGAAATCGAGAAGAAAAGACATTAAAAGAAAGAGATAAAAGATAGTTTCAAAAGAAAGAAGATAAAACTAACTACTGGAGCTTGTCGGAGACGGCGAGGGGCCACAGAAAGGAGTGGAGAGGGTCATTTGGAAGGGAGATCGGAACTACTCGGCAGGCTGGCCGGCGACAACCGAGGTTGTCATGGAAGAATGAAAGGAGTGGGGGAAGGAGCTCGAGCGGAGTAAGTGCAGGGATTGGAGGGGTCGAAAGAGGGACAGAAAGGAAGAAAGAGAGAGAGAGAGAAAGAGGAGTGAAGGGAAGGAGGACGAAGCTGTTGGCGAAGGGGCCTGATATGAGGGAGCCAGAGCTCTCTCGACACATTGCATCGCTACGACGTATCGTCATCGAAAAAAGAAGTTTACATATCGTTTTCGATAAAAAGTTTTCTTTTTTAAAATAAAAATAAGATCGCGATCTTTTTTCTCCTTTTCTTTATCTTTTTCTTTCTTCTTCTTTAAAAAAAAAAAAAATGAAATAAAAAAAAACAATTATTAACAATTATATTTTTCTCGTGACATAAATTAAATGTATTATTTCCTATTCTATTCTATTATTTTTCCCTGTGTCTCTCTTTCTATTTATTTTTCTTTCTTCTGTTATATTACGAATGTCGTCACACGCATCGCGGTGAAACTCGGCTGCTATCGGATCGACTTACGCGCGCATCTATATTTATACGGACGCAGGTGAAAACGCGTTAGATAGATAGATATATAGATAGATAGATAAATAGATAGGTAGGTAGGTAGGTAGAGATAGAAATAGTAATAGAAAGAGAGAGAGAGAGAGAGAGAGAGACACGTAGGAATCGCGGATACGACAGGTTCGTTCGTCGTTACGACTCTTGACTCGCGATATACGATTCGAGCGTTTACTCGCTCGACTCCTCGAGGAGTATATAACCGACGTGCGTGCCAGTGTGTATCGGTGGGTGTGGGTATAGAGGAGAAAGAGGAGGAGAAGAGAAGGAGGAGGGGGAGGTCGAGAAGTAGGAGGAGGAGGAGGAGGAGGAAGAAAAAGAAAGAGAGAGAGATACCTGTAGAGAGACGACGGCTGGAAACCCATAGTTGTGTAGTAGCATGCTGCTGCTCCGTGGAAAAGGGAGTGGAATATAAATAATTAAGACTCTCTTGGAGATTCTCGAATAAAAAAGAAAAGACAAGAAGAAAATAAGAAGAAAAAGAAAAATAAAAGTAAGAAAAAGGATTGAAAGAAGAGGAATAAACTACACCACCATACCGAGTTCCATTTCGCTCGTTCGAAAGTGCCTTTTCGCGCTTTTTACATTCGGCCCGTGGGAGATTCGCGTGGACAGAGAAAGAAAGAAATAAGTTTAACAGTGTCGGTACTTGAGTGTACCTACGAGAGTGCGAGAAAGTAAGCTTACAAGATTGCAGTGTACGGGACTCGTTGAAATGTCGTGGCTGCCCGTACTACGGACTTACGATTGAGGAGAGTTTGGTGAGCGAATGATTTTTAACGCGTTTAAGAGTTAGAGTGGAAGAGGATAATATAACGGGAGGATGGCGGACGGTAGGAAGAATCCTTTCTCTCTCTCTCTCTCTCTCTCTCACTCACTCACTCACTCACTCTTTCCTTATTTCTCTTTCTCTATTTATCTATCTATTATTTATCTGTATATCTATCTATCTATCTCATTTTAATGAACATCTTTCCCATTTGGATCTTCTGTCCAAGAATCCACTTCGACCCACTTCCTTCCTCTTATCATCGTCGTCCTCTTCGTCTTCATCTTCTTCGTTTAGAATCTCATGGCTCGATTACTTTGGACGATGACGTGCTCTTGCTGCTGCTACTGTTACTGCTGTATCTGTTGCTGTTGCTGTTGCTACTACTCCTGTTGATTTTCTTCACTCTCTGTATTGATGATCTTCGCGCCACAACCGTGTATATTTTTCTCTTTCATATAGAAATGGTAATCAATCGGTCGTGGGCGCGAAATTTATTTCATCTCATATTGCATATCCTAGAAATGAGAAAGAATGAGTTACATCTGAAGAGAAAGAGAAAAAGAAAAAGAGAGAGATAAAAGAATTCGAATTGAAGGGGTCAGAGGAAAGGCATTTTGTCGGAGCGCGTGGGAGGTCCTCTTCTCGAAAGTGCCTCTTCCCTAACCACATTTTCCTTTCCATTTGGGTCGAGCTGTTGCTTTACCTGAGTGCCTTTGATGTAGCTAGACCTGTGGAAGATAGAAAACGATATAGGGTAGAATAAGGTGCTGAAAATAAAAGAAAGATACAAAGGAAGAAAGAAAAATAGACACATCAGAGATAATAGTTTTCAAGTTGACGATGTTATCTTTCGGGGGGGGGGGATGCATTTTAGCAGGTAACTTTAACGAGCGGATAATCCGAAACCATTAACAACAACAGAAAGAGGAAAGAGCAACTACAAGAGTAAGAGTAACAGTAATAACAGCATTAGCAGTAGCAATAGCAGTAGCAATAGCAGCAGCAGCAGTCTCTCTTTTGATGTTGTTGGCATAATGCTCTGGTACGCTGCAACGCGTGGAATGCAAGCGTGACGCCTTTTCCGCGCGAATGCGTTCGCGGATAAATCCATTGTCCTTGAAAAACGAGTCGGCGCGGCACGTAGTAAGACTGTGTTGGAAGCCGTTCGAAGAAAGGACTTCGGGATATTACTTAATGTCGTCGTAGGAGCGCTCGCCTCCTCGGCACTCGGAGATCGCCAGAGTCAGCAGACAGCTTGGCTCTGCTCCCACTCTTCTCCCCAGTACCACTATATCTTTCTCTTTTTATTCTCTTCTCTCTCTTACTCTTTCTCCTCTCTCCCTCTCTCTCTTCCTGTCTCTTTCTCGCCCTCGCCAACGCAACGATCCAAGCATGCTGCTACGTTAAATATCCCTTTCTCTCTTTCTTTCTTTCTTTCCTCCTCCTACGTCATCGTTCAGTCTTTTCTGTTCTCTCTTCATTTTTTGGATACCTAATGAACCATTGTTTTTCAGCTCCTCCTCTTCCTCTTGTTTTTTCTTCCTTTATTAACCTTTTGCGAACGGTCAGTAATAACGAACAGACGAACGTCCACCGTCTTGTTGGCGAATTTCGTATTCCATCGTTCCTCTCGTCTATCAAATATAGAAGAAAGTTATTATTCTCTTCGAATATTTTTCTTTTTCACAGATAATAATAATAATAATAATAATTTGAAAAATGAAATTCCATTAGTATGAAAAATCTTACAGTTAAAGATATCAGAATTACGCGCATTTGTAAGTTGAAAATAAAAGATATTTCGCAATCTTATGGAAATCTTAACCTTGGCTCGAACGCGCGCGTACTACGAAAGAAATAACATTTGAGTTTTTTCAATATGCGTTATAAAGATATATATATATATATATATATATATATGTATATTAAAACGAATGATTCACGTGTATAAGTGGAAACGTCGCGATTCTTCTTAGTCATTCCTAAGCAATTTACGCGAAATTCTCTTCTGATGCGGAATATCGAAGAATATAAATGATGATAAAGAATTTTGTTTACCTCCTAATTAATAATTCTTCGTCCCTCCATTGCTTCTTTATTTGAATCCGGCACTTTTAACGTTTCAATTAATAAAAACGAGGAACGCGCGAAATCGCGCTTTTAATCATTGTAATACAATCATCTTTCATTTCTTTTTTCGAAGAAACCTATGCGTATTCTGTAAATAAAAAAGAAAGGGATGTATTTTATTAATTTTCGTAAGAAATAAAAAAGAAGAAAGAGATTACCTGGACCACCCAAATCGTTTAGGAAGATGAACGTTTACGTCTGCGGTGGACCACCGCTCGGGAGACGACGCCATTTTAAGTGGCGGGAAATCAAAGAATTCAAACGAAACGCGATGATTAATAGTCGTTCAAAACCTTTTAAATGATCTTTAATTTTCTATTTGTTCTTCTTCTTCTTCTTCTTTATTAGTTTCTGCCGATCTTCCACGTATTTTTTTATTTGTTCAACTTAGTCTTTCAACACAACACGTTGCATCTTTTATATATCTATAAATAGAAATTTGAATTGGAATGTTTCAGGAAAGGTAAAGTCAATGAATGACTTTGTCACGATGCGCATGCTGCTACTGATGAGATTGATGTTAGTGGCAGTAATCAGCATGCTGCTGATGTATACAAGCGCGAGTTCAAGTAATGAAGTACACCTGGAGACCGTTTCAAAACCAAGAAAATCCATTAGTAATCTATACAAGGACGAGAAAACTAAACAAATGATTGCTAGTCTTGAGAGCAATCTTCTTGCCCTTTTTGGCTTCACCAAAAGGCCTACACCCACGGGTCCCGCTTACGTGCCGGAATCTCTGCGAAAGCTTTACTTACGTCAGAATTCCATTCGTATGTCGGCCATCGCAAAGCCAGGCATTAATGCACGATCGGCGAACACCGTTCGTACCTTTTACCATGTCGGTTAGTATATCCTTCTTAAAGTTCTTTATCCGTTCGAGATATTTCAAAGGAGAAAGACGTTGGAAAGATATTTCCTATTGGTCAAAAGATAATACCGGTCGGGCAAGTGCTTTTTCGACGATGACTCATTTGCAGCTTTATGAGAGGATCCTTTTTTATCTTAGGAAAGTTGGCCGGTTGGTTTCTCACGCTAAAAACCTGATGATGTATTTCAGAAATAGAAAATAGAGCGATTGGGTAGAGGGTAGAGATTATTATGGTAGATGATAATAATCATCACCCATCATTTCTTTCTTTCATTCTTGTTTCAGAGAGTGAAGTGGACAGCAAATTTCGACATCCAAATAAATTTCGTCTGTTGTTCGACCTGCAGAATTTACCATTGAATGAAAAGTTACAAGCCGCTGAGTTAAGTTTATCGCGTATCGCGATAAAAGAAGAAAAGGAAGACTATAATAACCCAGAAACAATAAAGTATGGAAGAATACTCGTTTACGATATCGTCCGTCCAGGGATAAAAGGAAAAAGTTCTCCGATATTGAGATTGATCGATAGCAAGGTGATAGACTTGAGGAAGAATGCTACGGTGAATTTGGACGTCCATCCGGCGGTAGAAAGGTGGATAAACAATAACGAAACTAATTACGGTCTTCTAGTTGACGTTATGACTGGAACGAAAAAATTGAATAAACAACATATTAGATTAAAGCGTAGCATAGATGAACAAACGGAGACGTGGATGCTTAATCGTCCGACATTGTTAACTTACACGGACGACGGTAAATTAAGGGTGACTTCTGGTAAAGAAATTTTGGATAGACGTGCGAGACGCGCAGCTTTAAGAAAGAACAGACGAAAGGATGGTCGAGAAAATTGTCGTCGACATCCGCTGTACGTAGACTTTGCCGACGTTGCTTGGAACGATTGGATTGTTGCTCCTCCCGGATACGACGCCTTCTATTGCCACGGAGATTGCCCGTTTCCTTTGGCGGACCATTTGAACTCTACTAATCACGCGATCGTACAGAACTTGGTTTACTCGACTAAACCTAGTATGGTTCCGAAAGCATGTTGCGTGCCTACGGCCTTGAGCTCGATCAGTATGCTCTATCTTGACGAGGAGAACAAGGTCGTCTTGAAGAATTATCAGGACATGGCAGTAGTGGGTTGTGGTTGTCGTTAAATCTTTCATTCTAATTTTCTACAATCGATCGATACCATAGATCTTCACGACGATTTATAATATCCGTGTTTGAAGAAGAAGAATTACTTTTAATTGCAACCCCCCTGAAAAACAAAGAACATCGTATTAGAAAGAGCGAGAGACTGTTCATTACAGAGAAATTGTCTTCTCTGTATGATAGATTTTTTTTTCTTCTAATTACATTCTTTTTAAACGATGAACAATGAACGTGTGAATATATTATGTATGTTTTTATGATGGTATGATTCTCCCGAGTGTGCATGATTCTTTAGCGTTTTTTTTTTATTAATAAAATATAAACCAATTGCATGTATTTTTATTGTTAAGAACAAAACAAAACAAAAAAGAAATAGAAAATTAATTTTTATATAACGATTGAGATATATAATATTTTTTGATTATATATTTATGACCTATTTGGAATAATAATCAAAATTATAGATTGTAAGTGAGCATGCGACTAAAAGAAAAAGAAGAAGAAAAATCGAAATTATTTTTCTTTTTCTTTATTTTAAATATTTTTATATATATATAGATATATATATAACATGCCGTCCTATATGTTTTACTTGGCTCCATTCCATTTATTTTAATTGTATTGTCAACGAATAATATGAAATATAATGTAGCATAGATCACTGTGGAAAGGCAGGAAACGTTGAATGAGTGACGGCAGAATTAAATAATATAAATGCATATCCAATAGACAATGAGCATTGATTTTCTATATTTTTGCGAAGAAGAGATCTTGACAAAAGACAATATTATTATTATTTGTATTTTTTTTATCTTAAACGTAATCTATATAATTATGTAATCTTTTAGTTCTATAACAAGTTGATCCTTTCAAAGTGAACATGTTAAAAAAGCTAGGGAACAGGTATCGGCATTAGCAATCAATGATAAATAATAATAATAATAATAATAATAATAATAATAATAATAATAATAATAATAATAACTAATAATAATAAATAATAAATAACTAATAACAATAATTTTATATATAATATTTACACGCAGAGCAAATGAAATGATAAATGTGTGCCATGACCATGTGTACAACGTACAAAATTCAAAGTAAAATAATAATAATATTAATAATAATAATAATAATAATAATAATAATAATAATAATAATAATAATAATAATAATAATAATAATAATAATGAGAATAAAATATTCATTCGCGTATAGAACTGCGATAGAATGCACATATGTTATGCGATAGTAATGATTAAACAAACGAATCATCAATGATTTGCTTAATAAGCATATATTTAATTATGTAGGCACATATAGAAGAATTCCTGCCGCCTCAAATAAATTGTACCTGCCTACCTAAGGATTACTATTTATTATTTTTGCCAAAATAAGAATAAGAGGAAGAAGAAGACGAAGAGAAAAAAAAAGAAGAAGAGATACGTGTGTATATTTGTACAAAAAAGAAGTGCGCGTTAACAATAAGCGTATTTGTAAAATGTGTAAAGTTATAGAGTAAAAGATGATAAGGGATGAAGGAGAGAAAAAGAGAGAACAAGAGAGAGAAAGAGAGAATGAGAAAGAGAATACGTGTAAACATTGTAAATAATGCATTTGTAAAGTATCACGAGCATGTATATTCTTATATATCTTTATAATAATATGTTATTATAATATTTGACTTATTTCCAAGTTGTACACAGAATACGGGTGTAAATACAGATTTTTCATCCAAGAATGCTAGACTAACTAGAAAATAGACGTTCAAAGAAGAAACTTATTATTATGATTGACAATTAATCATAGATTTCATCGTCCTTTTAATATTTTGTGCCTCTTGCGAATAAGCGAAGAAAAAAATAAGAAATAAAAAGGATGGACAGTGCGTTCAAGATAGAAGATTGACCGAAGTAAAAAAATATTTTACACCTAAGCCCATAAACGACATACAGTACTTGTTATTTACATTGCTTGTATGTGGCATCATCTATTAGGACTTTTTTATTTGCACTATTTTATTGGTCATACTTTTCTTCTCACGATTAAAATTAATTTTTAGATTTAAAAGTGCGTTAATAATGTAACGTTTGAGCAAATGCACTATTGTTTGTTTACTATTAAATTATATATAATAAAATATTACATATAAACTATATAGATTGTTTTAAATAAATGTCGATTAATTAAAAATACGTATTTTAAAAATTTTTAAGTATACCTCCAAATGGAAGATTATGAGTTAAAGGTGATTTTCACTGGTTGAAATATAAATGAAAATTCGCTCAAAAATGATCAAAGTTGTCCACATAATTTTATTCTTTTTTAAATCACTGGTATGCACAAACTTGATGTTTCAAGTTATCTAAACAAATTTTCAATAAAAATTATTTTTACATTCATGACGAATTATAAATCTAAATAATATACGTATGTTATATAAAATGTTTAAATAAATGTATAATAATTAGAAATATTAATTATTAAATATACAAGTATATAAATAGAAATGTCTAATATATTTACTCTTTGAGAACTATGCAGCAACTGATATGAAGACCACGTAAGTCACTCATGTGCTTTCTTTTGTTTATATTATTTGCTAGTATCAAATTAAAATATTAATTTTAATTTAATTTACACTTAATAACATAATATAATTATTCTATTGTAAATTATTAATGTTATTAATATATAAAAAGAAATCATTTTTTTAAAAAAGATATTTAACAAATACAATAAAAAAGTAAGACATATTTATATTTGTACGAATATAATGAATATATTATACTCTAAAGTAATATTTGTTCAATTTCATATATTTTTTAGTATAAATAAATGTGTATAAAAATATTATTTAAAAAAAAAAAAAAGGCAATACCTCTATCTCCCTCAATGTACAAAAAAATTATATTATATTTAAATTGATGCAGACTTTTTCGCAGTACTAAGAAGTTTTGTATTTTTACGATAGATGGTGATACATCGAATGATAAAAGAAACTGTAATTATTACCGACATTCGATAAAAATTCATTTACAATACGTGTATTGATATTTAAATTTATCCTCTGAGTTATCGAGATTGTCGGTAAATGGGAACTGCATTATCGTCACAAACTTTTTTCAAACACGTGGCGCACTCTACAACTTTTTAAAACACTTATAGATTATATACATAAAATTAGAAAATAATTGTGATTATATAAACGTAGATAATAATACTTTATTTTAATCGCGATAAACATATTTGCTAAGGTATTTTTATTTTCACAATCGGGTGTTATACGTAACGACGATAAATAATATTATTAAAAGGTCTTGCAAAAATTTTCTATAGATTATATTGCCGAGGTTTTTTTTTCTTTTCCCCTTTCAAAAAAGAATTTCTTTATCGCTGATCGCTGATAAAAGCTCAGATTACAGCATTAACGCCATAAAAGTTATTCAAGATCGAGCTAACGTATGGTTATTGTATTATCTTCGTTAGAAACTGCAAAGAATGAGATAGCAGCTAAAAAAGTTAGAAAATAAAATTTCGAATAAAAAAAAAAAAAGGAAAAGAGAGATAAAGAAAGAAAGAAAGAAAGAAAAAGAAATAGCTCGATAATATCAACGTTATTGATTATTACTCCTCAAAGAAAAAGGTCAATTCTCGTTAACACCGTTAAACATATAATTCTTTTATTTAGAGAAATTTATATTTGATTTTCGTTCTGTGTGAATCTTTCATTTTGTTAAAATGTTCGATAAAAGTTTGAAATATTTTGACGATAAAAAAAATAGCTTTTTACACTGAGACACGTATGGGTACTTCGTAAGGGTTGTTGCACGTTGACACAAATAAAAATATTAAAAAGAAATATTTATCAGTGCACTCATAGAGCGCACACCTTGTTCGGGAGCACTTGTCGGCTAAGCCTGAACACTTCATCTCAAGGGTCTCTTGTCATTAGCAAATCATAAGGTGCAACCGATTGTCAAGTATTAAACAATTAGTAGTGATTTATCTTTCCCAAAGAACACTCCAATTGCATACAATATGAACTTGTATCCAATTCCTCTGATGATACGAAATAAACTGTGCAAATGATACGAACAGATTTGCACTTCTATTCGAAGTACAAAAATGGTCTTTAGTAAAATAAAAATACAAAAACGTTTGGAAAATAATAATCTCATTTAAAAAGTTATTTTCTTTTTTTTTCTTTTTTTTTTTTTTTTTTTTTTTTTTTTTTTTTTTTAAGAAAAAAAGAAAGAAAAGAAAAAAGTTAACAATTAATCTATCAACAATATTCTATAACTTTATCTCAACGATAGAAAAGATTAGTTTATTAATACACTGATCGATTATTTTATCTTCTGTGAAATCTATCTCTATCAGTTTAGAAGAAGAAAAAAGAACACATTATTAGTTTTCTATATCTTGGAATCATTACACGTGTTAGATACCGACGATCATTTCTATTATTATTATTACTATTATTAATATTATTACTATTTTACGTGTACTTTTTTTTTTGAACTTTTCTAGCTTCATGCAGAAAAAAGAAAATAAATTAAAACAAAATAAAATAAAAATAAATAGTTAAAAAAAAAGAACATAAAAAATGTAAAGCATACACATAATAATATTCTTCTACTTATTGCAATGATTGTAAGTAAATGTTTCGAATATAATAATCAGCCAATATCATTTTGAATTAATCATTAGGACAATTTGAAACATAAAAGATAACATTATTGATTGTTGTAATTGCAAGTAAGAGACATATCGAATTTGACAAAATAAAGGCTTTGGTATTTGGGCCTCCTTCCTGTATTACGGCTGACGGTAGTCAAACTAATCTATATAGGGTGTTATCAAATAGATAAGGTTGCCAGAGTGCCTATCAGGAAGCCATATTTTTGATACAATATACAGGTGATCGATATATCGGTATATTAGTTCTCAGTAAGTGGAGACAACTAAACGGAATTGGTTGCTTAGAAAGCAAAATGATCGGATCTGAGTTATTTGTTTCTGTGATAATACTAAGTGATCATTTTTAATATAATCATACATACACATACACAAACATACATACACACAGAGTCTAATCCAAAGTCTAAATTATTCTACAATCATTATTATTAATTATTGTCAAATTCTAATATCCCATTTACGAACAATTTTAATATCTGCAAAAGTATTCGTTAATTTCAAGAGATAATATATTACATAAAAAGAGAATGGCGACTTACGACGATTGCTACGATGCATCCTGGCATCTGATACCACCTGATTATGTCAGCAACGAAGAAGACTATAGGTAAAAAAAAAAAACAATAACAAATATATTAATTAAAAAAAAATAAT